AGCTAACATTGAACTGTAGGTGGGGTGAGAGGTGGGTTAGAGGTCTGGAGTGGTGGCTCCTTCATTACAGGGCACCCCTCACTCAGTGAACATGGATGAAGAGTGCCAGGTGCTACTTGTGGCTGGTGTGGCCACAGCACTGTGACAGCACTAGCACCCTCCACCTTCCATTCTCAACTAACTGGCTCAGTGCCTGCCGCAGCCAGCTATGTCCAGCCTTTGCTTTCAAAACCAGTATCGGTAGAAATGCTGAACCATTGCAGCTATCACCCAATACCCCCACCCCAAAGCTGTAGTTACTTTGCCATCTTGCCTGGGTCTGCTTTCTTGGTGCACATCTGAGAGTAAGATAGAGCACCATTGAGCTTTGTCCTTGAGTGCCTCCATGCGCATCTCCTGTAGTACAGGACCTGCGCCATCGCCCGTGAGGACCCCAGGGTTAATGGCATTGTTCATACTTCATGTTCCATGTTCTGATTTCTCTAGTTGTCCAAGAAATTTCATAGGTGTTTATTTTAATCAAGACCTAATGGCTCACACCATAATAACATTTGGGAGGCCAAGGCAGTATTGAAAATTCAAAGCTAGCCACTTTCCATGCTAGCCTTTTGCTGGTTAATTGAAGAATCTCAGACTTTTCTGCCTGGGCTGGCTTTGAACCACAGTCATCAGATCTCAGCTTCTTGTTCTTTAGATTACAGGCATGAGCCACCAGTACCTAGCAGCCTATACTTGTGTGTGTGTGCGTGCACACACACTCATGCACACATACACATACACATCAGTCCTGAGGCCTCAACTCAGGGCCTGGGCACTGTCCCTGAGCTTTTCTGTTCAAGGCTCCCATTTGAGCCACAGCTCTGCCTCTGGCTTTTTGGTAGTTAATTGGAGATGAGTCTCTTGGACTTTTCCTGTCCAGGCTGGCTTTGAACTTGATCCTCAAATCTCACCCTCCTGAGTAGCTAAGATTATAGGTATGATCCACTGGTGCCCAGCTAATTTACAGTTTTAAGTGTGTTTTTCTGATTGTGGTGTCACCTAACTTGGACTTAGTGTACAACTTCAAGTGATATTTAGAAAAACGGAATGACCGCTTTTTTCTGTTACCCATTTTGTGCTGTAGTCCGTGAACTCTGGCCTGTGTGCTGAGATGACAGGCGTGTATCACCATGCTGGCTACATGGAAGCTCACGTAAAATAACTGCAGTTGCTCTCTAGACCATTGAGCATTTTGGAGCTGTCAGATTTGGAGGCGAACTGTGGGTCTTCCACACTTGCTGCCTGTAGTGTAGGACCTACATGACCACTCAGGGTCACCAGGGGAGCGTGGACTCATGTCACATGACTGACCATTGGGCCTTGTTGTGCTAATACCCTAGGAGAACCACTCTGTGTGGCACGCTGGATTACTTGCCCCCGGAGATGATCGAAGGCCGCATGCACGACGAGAAGGTGGATCTCTGGAGCCTTGGAGTCCTCTGCTATGAATTTTTAACCGGGAAGCCTCCCTTTGAGGCCCACACATACCAAGAGACCTACCGAAGAATATCCCGGGTAAGCCATAGCTGAGGAGGCCCTAGCACGGCTGTTAGGATTCGCCCCTGATTGGCCTGAACCTTAGGCCTGGGTATGAATATTTACTGCCTCTAACTTGTGCTTTGAGACATTTATCAATTATATTCCAGGTTGAATTCACATTTCCTGAGTTTGTGACAGAGGGAGCCAGGGACCTCATTTCGCGACTGCTGAAGCATAGTGCAAGCCAGCGGCCGACGCTAGGAGAAGTACTTGAACACCCCTGGATTATAGCCAACTCGTCAAAATCACCAAATTGCCAAAAGAGCAAAGAATCGACTAGCAAATAATCTCACTGAACCTGGGGAGAGCCAGGGCTGCCGTACAACGTTCTGGAACATGTACCGAGATTATCTTCCGTTGGCCGCCTGCCGTCGCTGGAGCGCTGCGGGATGGTGCTCACCCAGCTGAGCACCCCCACCTCCGCCGTGCAGTGCTCCACAAATGTGATACTCGGAGGCCACAAGGATCCGGCTGCTCTCACTGGTTTCATAATCTGGAGGCAATCCCCGCAATGTCCACGTGTCCTCGTGGGACACCAGTTCTGTCAGCCCAGCGGCAAGGAAAGTGACCATTTTGCCTGGCTCAGCAAGCTGGAGCTGTACAGTGGCCTTGCAGTGCCTGAGCGTGTGTGTAACTTATTGGATGGCCCCGCCTGGGAAAGCTGTTGGAATGTGTATGTGGTTCGTTCTTTTAAATGTTAAAATAAAGATTTGTGCGTGGACGTTGATGTTCCCCTCCGTGGCCTGCGCCCCTTGGCCATCCCTTTGCTCAGCCTGTCTGGGTTTCTGGTCCTCCTTAACCATGGTGAATGGAACACGTGCTCTACGTCTGTCTTGGGACACAAAAAACTGTCTCAGTTTTCATTAAGGCCTCTTCAATTACCCTGAAGTTATGGCATGCATGCATGCATGTTATGAAATACACACGTTGCCTGAAGTAAATGGTTTTTTCCACTGCTTCACTGTTAGCTTGGAGCAGTCTGGCCCTGCTCTGCTCTGCTCTGCTCTGCTTGTCCTAATGTGTAAAGTTAGTAGAGAGAGATGGGCTTTCCTGGCTGACTCAGTTCAACTAGATGTAAAAAACTTTTATATCTAAGTGACAAAGGAGTTGACCTTGCAAACCTAACAATAAAACCTCAAAGGTCAGCTATATCTTCTGGGTGCAAGTGAACTGTGGTTTCCAGTCTGTGTGTATGTGCAGATGTGCATGCATGTACAGGCATGCCTACACCAGAGCAGGTGGTGTTGCTTACTTTTTTTTCCCCTCAAGGTTGGTGTACTGCCACCTGAGCCTCACCTCAACTGCAGGCTTTTCCTTGGTTAGTTGAAGATAGTTTCTCAAATCAGCTTTGAACTCAGGATCTCAGCCTCCTGAGTAGCTAAGATTACAGATGTGAGCCATCGGTGTCCAGCTTGGTTCCCAGGCTTGTGCTGAACCAGCCATAATCGGTATCACGTGACCACACTGGCTACACATAGGATGCTCCCCAGGCTGACTCCCACAGGGGCAGAAACTCAAGGCAGCACAGCTCCCCAGCACCTAGTCAGGCACCATTCATGACCAGCAACCACGGCTTGCTGGGAGAGAAAGGAAAAGTCACAAACTTACACAAAGCATTTATTTGCTCACATTGTCAGATTAAAAAACTAAAGGCAGGTAATGGCTTACATGTTTAAAACATGTTTAATTCCTCTAGTTCCATGAAAAACTAAGTACAAGCAGTCCGGATCTTGCTGGTGAGTCACATAAGGCTTCGGTTCCCTGATCCCTGACCACATCCCCTCCACTTTGTTCCGTTTTGGCTATTGACTACGGGAGTGGGGTGGGCTGGGGCTCAAGACTGGCATGGCTATGTGGTATGCATCTTATTGCTTACCCTTTCTGACATTTTGCAGAGGCATTACCAGGGGTTCTGAGGGAGACTTGGCCAGATTGGGGGAGGGGGGAGTGAGATCAGATGGAAGGCTCTTCCGAATCCCACTGGGAATTACAGCTGTGGAGATGAGATGACCTTGGGAATCAATCCCAAAGGCAGTCCAGTCCTTGCAGTACTGGGAAGCTACAGTTGCAATCACTAAATGACTGCTTTCAGAGCTAGAAAATGCCTGGTGTGGTGGCAAATTCCTGTAATCCTAGCACTTGGGAGGCTGAAGCAGGAAAATCTTGAGTTTGAGACTAGGGAACTGTCAATAATCAGGGCTCAATAAAACTTGTGCTGTCAGGATGAGTATTACTGCTACAATGGTAAACATTTTCAGAAGGACCCGTGGACCTGATGGAAATACAACCCCCACAAGTCATCCAGCAGAGCAGACTTGAAACTGGCACCTGCTAGCAGCACAGCCCTGAGGAGAGCCCGGATGCTGGGTTCCTTCTTGACCTGATTGCTTAGAGCATCTCAGTCTAGGGCTTGAATTTCTGTGCTAGTCTCCTTAACCCACTTTTTCCTCCTACAGTAAAACTGGCCTGCTAGACTAATTACACAACCCATTTCCCCTCCTCCCAGTGTGAATTACTAAATGGTTACTTTCCATGTACAACCAATACTATATTTCCTTTGGAAGTAGTACTGATTACTTCACGTATTTTAAAAATGCAAACAGTGATGGAGTAAATAAGCTCTGATGTTTGAGGCAGAGTTAAAGACTGCCTTAGCTTCCTACACTTCTAAATTCCTTGTGTACAAGAGGAAAGAGCCAAGTGGGTCTGTGCTGGTCTTGGTACTTGATCTCAGGGTTTGGGGTGCTGTCCCTGTGTTTTTTTTTTTTTTTTTCCTCAAGGCTAGGGCTCTACCACTTGAGCCACAGCTCCACTTCCAGCTTTTTGGTGGTTAATTGGAGATAGAGTCACACGGATTTCCTGTGTGGGCTGGCTTCGAGCCATGATCCTTGTATTTCAGCCTCTTGAGTAGCTAGGATTAGACTTGAACCACAGGCACCTGGCTCCAAGTGGCAATCTTTTAACACTGCTGATGAGCAGTGCTTCTCTATTTTACGAACAACCCTGGCCTACTTTAATGAAATCTCAGAAGAACCATCTAGTTCTTTCAGGTTCACATTTGCATGTATTTTGGAGTCTCCAAAACAAGTATTAATTATGAACACTGAGGGTTGATGCTAGCTCAGATCATGATTACAGATGGTCCTGCTTTGTTGCTTGTCTGCCTGGCAGCTGTTTTGCAGAATACTGCTAACTGAATCAGAGGGAGAATTTTACATTGCAGCTGAACTGTTGCTTTTTAAGCAGGTGAGCAAAGAAGTTAGGCCTTTTGAAGACACCTCCCACTCCCCACTAATGAACTAGAAGGGTCATTTTTGTGGATGGTTTGAAGATAGTAGCTCATTTGTCATGACTTGCTGACAATTAGATTACATACACAGCCCTGTAATCACTAGCATTAACAAAATTTTATAAAACAAAAGCATTCAAAAACCTCATTTTTGCCAGCAAAGGTAAACTCCCACACGATCATAGCCGCTCCCTGCCCCCACCCCTTAACCCCAAATCAAATTTCATGATTGAGAAGAAAGAGGTACCCGCCGTTGGGTTGTCAAGGTTTTGCAGCTGGAGGTTTAAAAAGTCCCACTTTACGAAAGTATCTGACAATGAAGGGCACGGAGACGAGGGTGATGCTGATTCTCACGGGGGCAAACAGCTTGTGGATCGCGTAGGCCACCACAAAGGTGCTTGTGCCCGCCGCCATCTTGGACTGTACCAGAGACTCTCTAAATCCAAGCTTAAGCAGGATCGCAGACATGTCTACACCACTGGAGGGAGAGAGGAAAGGACACAATGTCATGGGGGATGAAACCCACTGGGTTCTAAGATTCACAGCATCTTGTCGAGTGCGATGCAAGCAGCTGAATAATGAATAAGCCCTTAGAGTCAAAATTCTCTTTTACACAGAATCCTCGATGACAGTAAAAAGCCGAGTGATTATTACTGTCAAAATCTTACCTGGAAACAACCATGTAAAATACGCCCAAGGAGACCAATGAGATTCCGATGTGTAACGACACGCCAACAGCCCCATACTCTTGGAAAACCTTTTTCAGCTGCTGGGACTTGCTCTGCGTTTTCTCCTCTCTGCCTCTGGTCTCCTTGCCTGGGGTTGGGGTGATTCTGCTGGGGTCCTGTACATGAACCAAAGGGGAGACTCTAGGTTGGTGGTCAGCACCCAGTTTTATTCCAATGCAGTGTTAAGCGTTCTTGCCCACGAGAGGTCAACTACTGTCCTTACTTAGTGACTGAGACTAAGCAAGGCCCACTCAGCCACACGTGCAGGCAAAGGCTAATCCCTAGGGATGGCCAGCAGAATGGAGGTGTCCAAGATGCCCAGGTTTTCACCTTCAGAACCGCAGGGCATGTCATCTTACACAACCACAGGACTCTGCAGCTGTGCTCTGGGGAAGACTCTGGAGATGGGGAGATTATCCAGGTGGGCCCAATGGAACCACACGGATCCTTACGAGGGAGAGGAAAGAGAGGTGGGAAAGTCAGCATCTGAGAAGCAGGAGTGATGGCTGGCACAGAGGCAGCAGTCTGAAGATGTGCTGCTGGCTGGGGACTAAGGACCACAGCCAAGGGGCAGGTGGCCTCTGGAAGCTGCAAGAGGCAGGAAGTGGATTCTGCCCTGGAGCACGGAAGGAACTGGTTGACACCGTGACTAGTTCAGCAAGACCAGCTTGGACTTTTGACCTCCGACACTGCAAGATAACAGGTATGCGTGGTGTCTGTTAGAGCAACAAGAGTTCATAAAACTGGGCTCCATTCTTGAGGGCAGCAGTGACTTTGTTGAGTACTTTTGCTGAGCCAGCTAATACTCCAATGTATCTTTAATTTTTTTTTTTATTTTTTTTTTTATTTTTTTGTGGTCGTGGGGCTTGAACTCTGGGCCTGGGCGTTGTCCCTCAGCTCTTCAGCTCAAGGCGAGCGCTCTACCACTTGAGCTACAGCGCCACTTCCTCCAATGTATCTTATTTCTTCCTCCCATCTTCCTGACAGCGTTGTGACATTGGCATACTGATATAGTCATTTCCCTCACTTCAAAGAGGAGTAGCCCAGGCTTGGAGAGGTCAATCAATTGGTCCAAAGTCATAAAAGTTAGTGCCCAGGCCATTTGAGCCTGCAGGTACAGCACACCATGCCAGGCACCAGAAAATGAGTGGGCAAAACAACCAGTAAAAGCTATGGTATCTTTTCTTTTCCTTGAGGGTTGTGTGGCTCGAACTTGGGGCCTGGGTGCTATTCCTGAGCTCTTCTGCTCAAGCCTAGTGCTCTACTACTTTGAGCCACAGCACCACTTCTGGTTTTCTGGTGGCCTTTTGGAGTTAAGAGTCTCACAGACTTTCCTGCCTGGGCTGCTTTTAAACTGGGATTCTCAGGTCTCAGCCTCCTGAGTAGCTAGGATTACAGGTATGACCAACCAGCACCCGGCTGCTATGGTATCTTATACTTGAGACAGATAAAGGAAAGGTCAGTTCCTGGACATATTACTGACTGGGATTTGTACAGAAATAACTCATGATATGTAATGGCTGGTAACATTTATGGGTCACCTACTGGACTTGGAATGCTTGGGAGGAACAGGAGCAACAACAAAAAACCCCTACCTCTCGGGGTAGAAAGTAAGTGCTTTTAACCAAATGCTTCTATCTATAGTCAGCGGTGCTCGGCAGGTGGCGCGCATCTGCACTAATTATGGGTCCTGCAGCTGGAGGGCTCCCTCCTTCTTGTATTTTTAGAGCCTGCTGTAGCTAAGCCACACTGCAGGCAAGGGGGAGGCGCAGCTAGCCTGAGATCTCATGAGACAGAGTGGAGGAAATGATAGCCGGGCCTCAGCGGCATGCGTGCCCACTCAGCCAGGCCCACCTGATTGCTGAGAGCCACGGCCAGGCCAGGAGCAAGGAGCTCTGGCTCAGCACATCGTGACCACCATGCATTGGTGTGGCCCAGATGCCACTGGGTGTGGCCTCTGGGAAGCAAAGGTCCAGAGAGCTTCGCCATTGGTCCGTGAGCCCCACCATTGGGGAGGCCTAGGCACTGGGATTTCTCATCGGTTCCCCAGGTGACAGAGGTGTTCAGCCAGTGGCCAGGCAAGCCCCTCCACCCCTGTTCTTCCCTAGCTGGCACGCTCTCCTAGCTGTCACCTCCTCCAAGAAGGCCCTCCACTGTGCCTTTGGGATCAGTGAGGCCTGGGCTATGCTGCTTCACACTGAGCAGGAAGCTGCCTGTTGTCCTGGGTTTGTTCCTACTATAGTCTTGACACAGATGCTGGTGCTCTGTAGTTCAAAGTCTGGCTGCCTTTTCATTTTTCTGTTTTGGCCAGAAGGCCTTCTGCCAAACTAGAGGGTGAACAAAAGGGCCCTGGGCAGCCATGATTGGGTGCCTGCCTGAGAACAGGGAAGCGTAGGGCAGAGCTGAGTTTTGACGGGATTTCTACGGCCCTTGGCCTCCTCGCAATGAGTTGGACTGGAGGGGTCTGTGGGCTGAGCTATCAGTGCTGGCTGCTGTCCCATCTGCAGGGAAGAAGGCGGGGTTTGCTTATCAGGAAGAGCCCAGCCTCAGCCCAGCTCAGCTCAGCCCAGCTGCCAATCCAGCCAGGTACCAGGCCTGGGAGTAGGGGAAGCACATGGAGAGGGTGCTCTGGGAAATATCTCCCATTCGGAATGGCCACTCTTGAAGGAAGTGAGGGGCACCAGGAGCCATGCATTTGTCTTCCCCTCTTGGGACGAAAGAAGCTAAACAAAGGCATTTGTGAGTGTGACTTGTGAACAGTGGAAGTCTCAGACCCTCTTCTGTCACGCGCACTTCCTCTAGGTATTGCCCCAAGTGCTTGCAAGTCCACCAGTCCTGAGTGCTTTCACACCCCCGATATCTGGCAAATCCCAAATTCCCTACCAGAGGAAGAAAGGAAGAGGAAGCCAAACACTTCACCCACAAGCCAATCCTCCTCTTGGGAGAGGTGCACGATCATTCATTTGCCACGCGATGAATACAACATTGCACTGCCTTTGTCCCTAGTGATGTTCTGAGTATACTGAAAATATTAATTCTAACAATCCCCCCCCTTCCAAGATTGATCATCGAATAGAAGAGGCTCCTCAAAGCTCAGAGAGGTTAAGTAACTTTGCAAGGATCACTCAGAGATGAGCAGTCAGCACTGGGACTTGGGCCCCTCCAGTGTCTGTCTTCACTGTGCCAGGCTGTTTCAGGTGTAGGGACAGAGCAGTGAAGAAAACTGCCCCAATCCACAGGAAGAAAGGGCCCAGTGACAGAAAATTTAAATGCCAGGGCTGCCAAAGGTGATCGTGTATGGGGAGGCCTGGGAGGAGAGGCTACTTGGCATCCTGGGGACAGCAAGTCCTTTGTCTTGGTGGCCTTGCTGTACAGACCTTGGCTGCATTGAGGGCAGTCCTTGTGTGCTGTGCGTCTCCTTCCCTCCCCGTCCCAGCCCCTTGCTGAAGACAGGGGCTGGCACGTGTCTCAGGTCCTTAAGTAAGAATCTGGCATACGGGGAGCACACAGCTGAGTTCCATTCTCATCAGGAGCAGCAGGCAGGGGCTGCTAGACTCTGACCAAAGCCAGATCCTCCCCTCACTGGCTCCAGACTAGGGAAGTGCTTCCTCAGAGAGATGAGGTTTTTGTTAGGATGGGTTCCGCTCATCTCTCAGAGAGCAGAGGCAAGGCCAACTCCTGGACCCCAGAGCCTTGTGGCTGTGTATGTTTATGGTGACGAGAACAGTCACCCACGTTAATTTAGGAAATCCCAGATACCAGGTCCAAGAATGATCTCCTTTTATGTTCATACTCTAGGAAGTGCAAGCTACTAACCTCCCATCTTACAGATGAAACCAGGGCACAGAAGAGTGAAATATTCAACCAAGGTCACAGAAATAGTGAATGGAGACAGGAACCCAGGGAGTCTGAGACTCCATTGATCCCACAGCATACACTGCTGTCCGGACCAGGCCTGGGCTGGGGACAAGGCTGGGGAGAAGCGAGATAAGAGGCCATTCCAGATGAGTGCAGAGGGGAGGCCAGGGGAGGCTGGCGCCTGAGCATGGCTGGTGTTGGGAGACATGGCAACCTGCGAGTTTACAGAGTTTCCCCAGACTGTGTGTGCCTGCCAGGCAGAAGAGGAGAGAGAGACTACGGAGAAGTCCCACCTGTGTGCGCAAGGACGGAGAGGGCTCGGAGTCCAGCCCCTCTGACCCTTCCTGAAAAGCCACAGGAAGTCCGGGGACAGGCTCCCTGGGCTGGGCTGCATCGGCCTCAGTCATGGGGGGAGGGGTCCCCCAGCTTTGCGATAGGTCAGCAAGCAGGTCGAGGCCCTGGGGCTGGGGCATCAGGACTGGCCCGGACGCAGCGTGGGACAGTGTCGTGATCCTTGGCTCTCCAGCCTCCATTTCCGTGGGAGTCCCGCTTGGCTGCCATTCTGAATGAAAACTAGTTCACGAGCCACTTTCACTCAGCCCCGGTGGCCGGCGACCAAAAAGAGACATCGTACACAGCTGGACAGGCGGCCCCGGCGGCCCGGGCCCCGGCAGGATAACAAAGGCCGCGGCCGCCGGCCAAGTTCACACGAGCCCGGCCCCACCGACGCCCCGCCGGGATCGGCGGCCACGGGCGGCCCCCGCGCCCCCGGGCCGCAGTTTCCCGGCTCTCCATCCGGAGGCTCGCTTCCTTGGCTTGTAGGGCTTTAGGGGCTCAGGGACCCCGGGGGTGGTCGGTGCCGAGCGTCCCGGCGGCGGCCTGCCCGCGGCACGGCGCCCCTGCCCGCGCCCTGCGCCCTGCGCCCGCACCCGGGGGCCTGCGGACCGGGACCGGGACCGGGAGCCGAGGCTTACCTGGCGGCCCGCGCCGTCCTCAGGAGCGGTGCGAAGCAATCGGGTGACTGGACCAGGTCGGGCCAGGGCCAGGGGCGCCGGGGCGCAGTGGGTGGCAGCCCCCAGGAGCCAGGTGGCTCGAGGCCGGACCCGAACGCCCACCCGGCTGGCCTGGCCCAGCAGCGTCCACAGCCCCACCATGGTGCGCGCCACAGCGGGGCGGGCGGGGCCCGGGCCTTGCGTGCTCCCGGCCCCGCCCCCAGGGCGCAGGCCCCGCCCCCGAGTCAGGCGCGGAGGGGTGGGGCTGGAGAAAAGTGCGCCCTCTTGGGACGCACCCTCCGGCTCCGCCCCTCGGGGCGGCCGCCAATTTCACAGTGGATTTGAGGAGGAGGAGCGTACCCTCCAGGCCCCGCCTCCTGGCCCCGCCCCCGGGCGAGCAGGCTTGGTGGGCGGGGCCTGGGTGGGTCTGGGCGGGGCCTGGGCGGGGCCTGGGCTGGCTGGGCGGATTGGCCGGGTGTTGAGTTCTATGGGCAGCAGCAGGAATGGGAGAAGCTGACAAGTGAACACATTTGTTTGCACGTTCACTCTAGGCACGAAGGGCAAGGGGAACGGACCCACACTTGAGAGCCTCCGAATGGCCTTGGCACACGTTGGTGTGGCCCGGAAGCGGTGCTGCGCTTTGGAACGCAGGGTGTGAGATTCTTGAAAAGTTAAATGCATGCCACCGCCCAGCGCAACTCCAGGCGGTTGTCCAAAGAACGCCGCCCGCAGCTGGACACGAGCCAGATGCCTGTCGGTGGACTGTGAACTGCCCTGGCCAGGGGTACCATTCATCCAGCGACTGAAACAAGATTTATTTGATGCGTGGTTGTACATCACAGAAACAGATCCCAGAGCTGTCCCGGGAGTAAACAGTTCCAGGCACAGACATGACGATTTCTGGGACTGCTTCCCATGAAATGGCCAGAACAGGCACAAACAAACAAAACTCCACAGCCTAACACAGATCCAACCTATCAGAGGCTGCCTGGGGGTGGGGGGTAGGGGGGATGCAGTGAGCATCACCGGGGACAGGCAAGGGTCAGCCGGATGATGGTAGCTTCCTGAGCTGTACACGTAGCCGTGGGTGAATCTTAGGCTATGCACAATCACACGGCAACAAAACAACTTGTAAAAGTCCTCCGACAGGGAGGGTACACCCCTGTTCTCCCCGCTCCTGGGGGCGGGGCAGAAGCTCAAGGCCAGCCTGGGCAACATAGAAGCCCCTGTCTCAAAATAAATAAAATGGCAAATTCCCAAGGTGTAATTGTAAGCTATATTTCAACTCACACCACCTCTCCTGGTCACATACAAACTGTGTGTTTGTTTGTGGCGTTCTTAAGTGAGTGGTAAAGAGTGGTCCAGGGTGCGGGCTCTCAGACCAAAACACCGACTACTGACTCAACCTCTCTGAGCTGCAGGTTTTCATCTGGAGAATGAGGACACTGCTAATGGCCTCCACAGAGGCCGTCCTTAGAGAGGGCCGCGGCTGTGCTTGGCACAAAGAGCTCACACAGGGAGGAGGGGGTGCAGGGTAGCTGCCATGTTGCAGGGTCGCTGGAGGCAGGTCGCTCCCAGAGGCTCCTACCTCAAAGCCATCCCAGGTCCCGTGATGTTCCTGTCACCAGAGTTCCCCATTCATTGAGGTTTCATGGCAGTTGACATAGCGTTTTTGATGTATGGTTCTCAGGGCAAAAGGAAAGCATGTTTTTATTTTCTCTATTTAATCTGACCATAAATAGCATATGTAGTAGAATCTTGTTCTGTCTTCTTCTAAACATGATGAGATAACTTGATTTTTTGCCTGAGACAGAGTCTCATGGAGTAGACTTGAGCTCAAGGTTCTCCAGTCTCAGCCTCCCAAGTGCTGGGATTACAGGCATGTGTTACCACACCCAACTTTTCCTTTGTTTTAATGATGCACATGCAAGCTGCTTCTTGCCTGAACTTTAGGTAGCTTTGCCTTGTATTTGTATTATTAGCTCCTTTGTTTCTCTCCAGCAGAAGCTCATGTTGGCAGTGTATTCATTTAAACTTTCCTCCTATTGTGAGTAGAGAATGAATGTATTCTTGTGGTTCAGATGTTGACAGGTTTGGAAAGGTGACTACAGTGCCATTCTTCTCGCACTACAGGCACCAGTTCCTCCAATTCCTCTCCCTGTTGGCAATCACTGTTTGTGCAGAACCTTCTAGAGATGTCAGACAGGTGCTGGCAAATTCCTACAGCTGGTTTCTAGTTTATGTTTTCTTTCTTTCTCCTCCTCCTCCTCCTCCTCCTCCTCCTCCTCCTCCTCCTCCTCCTCCTCCTCCTCCTCCTCCTCCTCCTCTTCCTCCTCCTCCTCCTCCTCCTCCTCTTCTTCTTCTTCTTCTTCTTCTTCTTCTTCTTCTTCTTCTTCTTCTTCTTCTTCTTCTTCTTCTTCTTCTTCTTCTTCTTCTTCTTCTTCTTCTTCTTCTTCTTCTCCTTCTTCTTCTTCCTCTTCTTCTTCCTCTTCTTCTTCCTCTTCTTCTTCCTCTTCTCTCCTTTTCCTTATTTTGTCAGTCATTGGGCTTGAACTCTGGGCCTGAGCGCTGTCCCTCAACTCTTCAGCTTAAGGCAACACTCTACCACTTGAGCCACAGCACTACTTCCATAGTTTATGTTTTATTCCCACATGGAGCATACGTAGGGCAGGCAGAGTTCTGTTTTGTACCTTGACTTTTTTTTTAGTCTCAAATATGTTCGATTTTTTTTTCTTTATCTGTACATAAAAGTCTTCTGACAGGTCTACTCAGCCTGTGGGTGTTTTGCAGGGACTGTAATGCAATCCCACACTCCCCTGTGGGTGGGCCCCGGGATCATCGGGGCTTCCCTTTCTCCAACAGCAGGGCACATGGAGGTGGCAGAAGAGGTCCTAACCCTGGAGAGGGCATCATGGGGTGGAGGGGGGAGCTCCAGTATTGGGGTTAGGGCTGCTGAGGATCTGTGCTGAGCCCAGAGTTGAATGTGCCTGGGGGGCCAGTGGATGCTGTTCTTCTGGGCCCCAGAGCCCTTGTGAAAGCAGTCTTGCTCATAGCCTTGAGTCAGACTCAAGGGACAGAGTACTGGGGTCCTGAAGGCCAAACCCAGTTCGGACCCTGGCTGTTATCTGGTGGGGTGGAATCTGGCCTCCAGAGTTAAAGAACCAACTTTCCTGCAGTTCTTGAGTCCTTTCCCCACGCAGTTCCCCGAGGCTGCCCAAGTCCAGATTAAAACCACCAGCAACGACCCCCACCACTGAAAGTCTGTGCTCTTCAGGATTTTCCTGATGGCTATGGGATTGTAAAGTCTCTACACACATTTGTATATTTAGCAATTCCCTCTCCTCCCCCAGAGCACGCTTCTAATCCCCAGTGTGCCCAGAACTCAGGGCTCTGAGACTGACCGTAGTTTGCTGGGGTCACAGTCCAGCAGTTGCTGACTCACCCTGAGAGGTTAAGATACTACTTGAGTCTACACAGCAGGAGGGACCAGGGTTGGGAATGAAACCTGCAGGTAGAAGACATTTTCATCTGCGCCGTTTAGATCATGTGAGGGGAAGGAGGGGTGGACAGGGTAGGAATACACCATCTGGTCTCCATTTGCTATGAATCTTGGGCAGAGCTGGGTAGACTTTTTGGGACACAGAACACAATGAAAATACGGGGTTTCTGTTTCAAAGAGCAGGCACAAATGTAAAAGTTAGCAGAGAATGGAGCCTTCCCCTTCCTTTCATCATCTCTATCTTGAGTTGTTATAATATTTAAATCTTTTTTTTTTTCCCTGCCAGTCCTGGGGCTTGAATCAGGGCCTGGGCATTGTCCCTGAGCTTCTTTTTGCTCAAGGCTAGCACTCTACCACTTGAGCCAACATGCCGTTTCTGGTGTTTTCTGTGTATGTGGTACAGAGGAATTGAACCCAGGGCTTCAGGCATGCTAGGTGAGCACTCTATCACTGAGCCACACTCCCAACTCCCTTAAATCTTTTTTTTTTTTTTTGTTGGTCGTGGGCCTTGAACTCTGGGCCTGAGTGCTGTCCCTAAGTTCTTTGCTCAAGCTAGTGCTCTACCACTTTGACACACAGAACCACTTCCAGTTTTCTGTGATTAGTGGGAGATAACAGTCTCACAGACTTTTCAGCCTGGGCTGGCTTTGAACTGCTTATCCTCAGCTCTCAGTCTCTGGAGTAGCTAGGATTATAGGTGTGAGCCACTGGGACCAAGCCAAGGCTATCATTTTTCAATGGAAAGTGTTGGACATTTAAAAACAGTGAAATACGTCATAACCTCAGATGCATAGTGTAGCTTAGGGAGGAAATGAAATGGAGCTGGATTTAGAGAGGTCAGCAGATGCTGCCTGGGTATTCTTCCTCCTGTCCCTCTGCCTGCAAGGGTGGCCAGCCCCTAAAAGCTATACTTACTATTCTTTGGTCTTGTTGTCAGTCATGGGGCTTGAACTCAGGGCCTGGATGCTGTTCTTGACCTCGTTCAAGGTGAGCACTCTACCACTATGAGCCACAGCACCACTTCTCATTTTCTGGTGGCTCATGGGAGATCAGAGTCTCACAGACGTTCCTGCCTGGGCTGGCTCTGAACTATGATCCTCAGATCTCAGCCTTGTCAGTAGCTAGGATAACAGGTGTGAGCCACCAGTGCCTGCTTTCTTTGGTCATTCTTTTTTTTTTTCTTTTCTTTGGTCATTCTTGATGGGTTCCCTAGATACTGTATTATAAATTCTAGCATCTTCTTGGATTTCATGTAGGTGGGATTCTAGTCTAATGCCCGTGGACCATGTCTGTGGTGATGGTCTTATGCAATCATGGTGCCCAGTGGAGTTGTAGCCAGCCTAGTGGGATGTTTCATGTGTGAGCACACGCCCTACGTGTGGGGTTTGAGCAGCCACGGAATCCACAGACAGCGTACCTGTCAGAATGCAGAGCACAACGGTGCAGCCAGCCTGCGGCGGCTCCCCTTGCTCCAGTGCCAGGTGTGAGGTTTCCATCGTGCGTGGGGTGGTCGCTGCGTGCCAGGAGTGGTGCCCTGCATGTCACTCATCTTCACTAAATGGTCTGTGGCCACAGTGCTGCTGCCTGGACTTCCAGGGGAGGAGTCGAGGCCCCCCTCCCCCCGGGGCCCTGTGGATCGCTCGCTGGCCCTCACCCCAAGGTTCGCATCAAGTGCTGCCAGGCGGTGGTGC